AGAGAGAGAGAGAGAGAGAGAGAGAGAGAGAGAGAGAGAGAGAAAGAGAGAGAGACAGAGAGACTCCACTTGCCAGATACAAAATATATACCCCTAAGGCACAGCCCCAATGCCTACCTCCTCCGACCGTACCCTACCCACCTTCAGTTACCACTCAGTTAATCCCACCAGGGAATTAATTCACTGTTTGGGTTAAGGTTCTCATGACCAGATCATTTCTCCTCTAAAATTTGCATGAGCTTTGGGGGGCAGAAACATCTCATATCCAAAACATAATGCCCATCCTCATCCCCATAAGGATACAGCAAATGTGACTAATGTATCCAAATACTGCTATATGATCTGAAAACAATTCCAACCTGAATTTAATACGTATCAATTTTCTATGGTAATTTTGGGGCCAACCAGTGTGTAGATTATGGGGAGTTAAATAATTAAACTTTTTTTTTTGTTCTAATATTCATGGTGTAACAGATTATTCTGTGCCCCTTTAGAATTTTTATATTTAGATGAATACTTTCAGAAGATTATTATTATTTTTTTTCTTTTCCATCAGAAGTTCAGTAATAAATGATAATGTTCTTCTCACCCAGTCCTCATGCATCTAGTGATAGTTCTTATGGCAGGGAGCTCCACACAGGGGTGAGACTAAAAGACGATCTGATTAAGAAAAGCAAGACATCACTTTACCATGGTATCTTCCCCTTTCCAGCTACCCACACACCTAGGAACCCCCGTATAATTTGTCTGTCGGTTTGAGAGACATATTTTGCCCTCAAAAAGAAGCAATCGGGAGTGTCAGACTCCCTTTGGCTTCACATTTGTAGTTCCTCTTTGGATCTAAATAGTCAGAGGGTCTCAAGCCCTTTGATGATTTATTAGTTTGCTGATAAGGTCACCTGGGGAGTTGATTTGTTTTCATTTCAATGTCAAGGGCTCACCACCTGAGATTCTGATTCAGTGGATCTGAGGTTGAGATCTGAGGTTGGCTTTGATGTTGTTTTTTAAAGCTCCACAGGTAACCCTCAGCCAGGTTGAGAGCCTCTGAATTAAACGCATCTGGGTGTTATCAGAACCAGAGCAAGTCAATTCAAGCTAAAACAGACAAATTCGTGTAAAAGGAACTCAGTGCCCCAATAATTGACTTCTCTTTCTTTGGGGGTCCTTAATGATCTCCTTCAGGCCAGGTTGGAGTTTTTTTTTTTTTTTTAAATTTTGATATACTCAGCACACTGGCACATTTTGGTTTGCAGAATGAATTAAGAAGATTGTGATTTATTCTCATGTTATAATAATGGTTCATAATACATTTCCAGAAATCATTTCTATGGCATTTCTCAACACTATGGAACACCTAAAGATGAGAAAGAACAAAAAACTTGCTGTTTGAGCAGCTAACATAGACATATTTTAAAAAGGCTAGGAATGATTGGAATATACAGTTCTGCTCCTCCTGTACACACAGGGACAACAATCCTATTTCTTTGGTTTTCCCATTCATAGGCACTTAGAGGATAGGAGTGATTACTGTGCAATTTATCACTGAGGAAAATGATCATTAGAAAATAAAGAGAGAAAGAAAAAAAAAAAAAGGAAACGGTGGTGCTCAGAGAATATTATGACCTGGGGTTATTTAGGATTCAGACAACTAGTTTAACGATCCCAATATCTCTGATTTTGAGCCCACCATCCATTCATTGTTTAGGATTAATTAGTGCAAGGTGCTGTGGAGAGTGTGGAGATTTCAAAGGTGACTCTTTCCAGTGAATTTCACTGGAACCTTGTCCCAGGTCCTGTCTATCTTGCTCTTGAGATGATTAACGTGTAGGGACATGGTGAAGCTGCTGCAACTTGGGTTTCATAGATTGTCTTTGCTGTCCAAAGCATTTTATAATTTTTATGACTAAAGCCCTATTTGAGGCCATCCTTGTGCCTCATAACTCTCTCTCTGGTCCATATAACCTCCCCTGATCCTTCATCAGAAAGATCTTTCTAAATGCAAATCTGATCATATTACTCTCAATTAATGATCTCTAAACTGCAGGATTTATTCTGGACTGCTATCTATCTAAAGCTCTTCATACTGATCCGAATTTACATCCTAGCCTCCTCTGATCCCTCCTCCCTCCTGCTTCTCATGTTCAGCAGTACAAGCCTCTCTGGATCCCTCCAAACACTGTACTCTTTCATATTTTGTGCCACTTTTCTTTGGAATGCTTTTCCTTCTTGTCATTTGAGCCACCTCATTCTCCAGGAAGCTCCCCTTGGCATCTCTTCACCCCACATGTTGCCCTCCCCCCACCAGCTGGGCCAGTTGTCCTTCCTTTGTTCCTACTATGTATTGAAATCATGTTCAGATGTTTGTCTCCACAGCCACTTCGCCTCTTCCATTGCCCTTCCTCCTGCTGCCTCCTAGGATTTTAAACAACCCATTCCTGCCTCCCAGGATTTTAAACAACCCGTTCCAATGATAGGAACAATTCTTATCCTTTATCGTCATGCCAGTGGTTGACTGTGGACAGCCCTAAACTGAAAGCTCTGTTTCATTCCATTCCATTCTTTATAACTCAGACATTGTGCCTCAGCAGGAACCTCTATCATGGTTTGCAGGCTCTGTAATTCTGCAATGGTTCCCAGGATTTGGCAGTGGAATCTGATGCTCTGACAGTGACACAGCAAAATTGTGGGAGCACCGAAGGTGGCAAGAGGCTGCCTGAGATAGCCTGGGTTAGTCTTGGTGAGCTTGCAGTTTTATCCATTTCTCAGATATTTATGTGCGATGTCTAACATGCCAGTAATAGGGGAGCTAAAAATTTACTGAGCACTTTCATTGTTTTTATTTGATCCCCACAATAAATTTTGTATATTGAGGACGAGGAGTGTCATTAACATTTTATAGAGGAGGATAGCAAGTCTCAAATCTACTTCAGGTAACACGTTCAGTAAGTGTAGGTTCTGGGGATTAAAGTTAATAAATTGTTATTTTTAGTTTTTTTTTCTTTTCATAACTATATGATGGCTACATATACACCACTAAGAATGGTTTCAATGACTAACTTGAATCCTCAAAAAAGAGAGAGGAAGAGGGGAGGGGGGATAGTAGACAATAGGACAGACAGCAGAATACATCAGACACTAGAAAGGCAATATGTCAATCAATGGAAGGGTAACTGATGTGATACAGCAATTTGTATACGGGGTAAAAGCGGGAGTTCATAATCCACTTGAATCAAACCATGTAATATGATGTATTAAGAACTATGTAATGTTATGAACGACCAATAAAAAAAAAAAAGAGAGAGGAAGGAGCAATGGCACACGCCTGTAATCCAATGGCTAGGGAGGCTGAGGCAGGAGGATCTCAAATTCACAGCTAGCCTCAGCAACTTGGCAAGGTGCTAAGCAATTCAGTGAGACCCTGTCTAAATAAAATACAAAATAGGGCTGGGGATATGGCTCAGTGTTGAGTGCCCCCGAGTTCAATCCCTGGTACCCTACTCCCCTGAAAAAAATAGAAAATAAAAAAAATTATAGTTAGTATATTATGTTAGGAAGACAGGATCATTGGCAATACCTTTTAGAAAAAGTTTCATTGAAAAGTTTAAATAAAGCTGAGTAAAATGTAATTCTGAAGGGACAAGATTCTTGTACATGAAAACTAAACTTATATTGGATGCTTTATCACCTGATTTGCAAGTAAAAATATTATTGTAGCCAACTTTTAGTACCACAGTAGATTTAAGAAATTAGAATGATGAAAGATTCCTTGAAATATTTTCTGAATTATTTTCCTATTTTTATATAAAGCCATGTGTTTCCTAGACCACAATAATGATGAGTAAATTTAACAGACTTTGTTTTGAAAGCTGCTCTCAGTAATCCTCTTCTTATTTTCCTAGAAATGCTACCTAACAACTAGACTAAATCTTTCATAAACACCCAAAGCTATTTTTGTCTTATTTCTATTTCAAATTTGAGGTAATCTGGCTCCTCTATTTATCCTGACTCACCAGGTCTTCTTCTATGCTACAGACTATTTGTTTTGATGAAGGTTCTTGTAGAATTTTGTTTCCAAGGGGGAAAAATAGAGAACTGATGCCCAGGACATTTGAAAGTCCTTATTGGTTACTGAAAACTATTTGGCACTTTGCAGATGGGCCTCCTGGAAGCCTAAATTTGAAGTCTGGTCTAATCAATATAATCCTTGGAAATGCTCATTGTTTTCATGTGAACTCCATGTGTAGCACGGGGGGGGGGGGGTACCTGCTAAATTGCAGATTTCTAGGAGCCACTCTGGGCCTCCCTGAATAATAACCTGAAGGGGCAGGACCCAGGCATCTGCATTTAGCATGCTTTCCAGGTGATTCTTCTATACACTATTCTTTGGGAATCTGGGGTCCAGGTTGTACTTTGCACCTACCTTAGTGAAAATTCAGTCAGTACAAGATTTTTGCCTGTAGATGACGCAAGAAAGTCTTTGCTTTCTGGCTTGAGACCAGTGGTACTTTTTGACTCTCACTTGGCGTTCTGTTTCCAAACTAATTTCTGTGATTAATTGCCCAGTATATTGACTTACAGTGGGATCAGCCATCTAAGAGGGGTATTTTTTTTTTTTTAAGAGTGGGTATTAAAGCTTTTGTTCTAACAAAGGCATGCTGTTGACTACCATATTCCTAACAATGCTGCACCTCCCAGAGATCTAGGACCCTCAGGGAGGAGTCTGCTGGTCTTTATCTTGGAAAGTTAGAAATCAAAATGCAAAGTGTTTCTTCACCAGAGGGTTTTCTGTTTGTCATGCAGGCTTTGATTTTAATGTTCAGTCCCATACTTGCCATTGTTGATATTTAATGGAAAGTGAACAGTTTCTGACATCCCAATAGTGAATTCTTTTAGGGAGAGCATCTGGATGGATTCTGACTCCTTAATAGGAAAGAGCTTGTGTTTTGCATCATATTTTATTGTTTGAGCCTTCTGGGCCCTGTAGGTTAAATGCTGGCAGTTGCTTTTCAAGGAACTGTTACCATCTATCTGTATTTTTAGTCTTGGTCATCATCTCACAAAGGGAAAAAAGCAGGCTGCCTTTTCTTTCAGCTAGTGGCCTGTCTATTCACCAAATTGTGATTTATAGTAAAAATTAATTTAACAGTGAAAGACAAATGTATTTTCATCTAGTAATAATGTAATTACTAGAATAATTATCTATAATTTCTGTTTTAAAAAATTATCAAGCCATATGAATTTATGCACTGGTTAGGCAATTCCTAAATAATTGGAGTTTGGTAATAAAGACATGGCTTTGTCTGGGCAGTAGAAACGCCCAGGCATAGGACAAAGGAGGGAAAAAATCCATCTGAGTGCCAATGAGATTCATAGAGCTAAAGAGGCCATTTATGTTATTTGAGCAACTTGCTTTTGCTTTTCAAAGTAACCTTATTATAGTTTCTAACATGTCAGTAAAAGTTTTTCTCAAAAAAAAAAAAAATACCTGAATTAATACTGTTAGTTTTCTATTGCTGCAATGAAATACCTGAGAAAATTAAAAAGAATGAAGTTTTATTTTGGTTTATGGTTTCAGTCCATAGTTGCTTCGATCTAGTTTTTTGGCCTCTAGTGAGGCAGAACATCATGGTGGTGAGGGCTTGGTGGAGCAGAGCTGATTACTTCAGAGCATTCAGGAAGAGGAAAAGGAAGGAGCAGGGGTCCCAGTGTCTCATTCAAAGGCATACCCCCAATGATCTAGCTGTCCTCCACTAGGTCCCACTTCCTAAATGTTTCACCCTTTCCCAATAGCACAACAGACTGGCCACTAACCCTTCAACATGTATGGGACAGTTAAGATTCAAACCATGGCAAATGCTAAAACTGTTTACTTGCTTTCAATTTTTATAATGAACTATTCTGATTTGGTATTTATCATACACTTATTTTCCAGTTGCCATTTATTGGAGTCCTTTGAAATTTTATCTCTGTTATTATGTCATAATGATAATCTGTTTTGATTATAATGGGACAATTGGTTATATTTATGATTCTGAAAGTGACAGATTCATGGTAAAAAATCCAAACCATACTAAAAATTATATATAAAATGTAAA